TCAAATACGATGGTGAAATTAGGACATTTCCAGATAAGCAGAAATTAAGGGAATTTGTTGAAACTAGACCAACCTTTCAAGAGATGCTAAAGGGAATCCTTTGGACAGAGAAGCAACAACAGCAAACAACTGATCATTAACACACATGATGACATAACCCAGAACCAACCCAGTTATAGAAGTATCCGAAGTAAATAAGCCTACAAGATTGTAAGCAGGGAACCAGAGACATCAATTGACAAATGAGGACAACTACAAACCAAAAAGAGGGGAAAAATTGGTGTAGTTATAGAACTTCTAAATGGTGGGGAAGTCAAATCAACTACAAGATAGAACGGACTGTTCCAAACTTGGGAAGAAAACTATAAATCACAGGATTTATAGTTTATAAATAATCTCAAGGAAAACTGATAAACTTTCACATCAAAATAAATGAGAGGACCAGCACAAATATTTAGCAAATACTAAAACAACAGCAACAAAGGAAGTGATAACATGATTCATAAATAAAATGAACTTAGCACAGAAAATTATATGGAACAAAGAAATGAACAACACAGAAAAAGCACATAACAAAATGATAGCAACAAATTCATATTTGTCCATAATTACATATCTGGCAAGGGACTTATCTCTAAGATTTATAGAAAACTCCAATGCCTCAACAGCAAAGGGATTAACAATCCAATTGAAAAATGGGCAGAAGGCATGAATAGACACTTCACCAAGGAGGATATTCAGGTGGCTTGCAAATACATGAAGAGATGCTTACGATCATTGGCCATTAGAGAGATGCAAATCAAAGCAAGAATTAGATACCATCTCACCTCAGCACTGATGACAAAGTTCAACAAGACAGAAAATAACAAATGCTGTGGGGATGTGGAGATTGGGACTCTCATACACTGCTGGTGAGGCTGTGAAGTATACAACCACTGTGGAAAGCAGTATGGTGATTCCTTAGAAAGCTGGAATTGGAGATACCATTTGACCCAGCAATCCCATTACTAGGTATATATCCTCAAGAAGTGTGAGCCAGGACAGGAAAAGATACATGCACACCCATGTTCATCGCACTATTTACAATAGCAAAAAGATGGAAACAGCCTACGTGCCCATCAATGGAAGAGCGGATGACCAAATTATGGTACATAAACACAATGGAATGATATGCAGCACTAAAGAATAATGTAGAGTCTGCAAAACACTGCATAACATGGATGAACTTGGAGGACATTATGCTGAGTGAAATAAGTCAATCACAGAAGGACAAATATAGTATTAGTTCATTATTGTAAAAAGTCAAGGAAAGGTTTATATATGGAAGGAAACTTTCTTTGTTGGTTGCTAGGGGTGGGAGGGGAGGGGAGACAACACTGAGAAAAAAAAAAATTCATCGACCTATATCGCCTTGCTGTTGTTGTTGATATGTGCCAACGAGTCATCTCCAACTCATAGTGACCCCTCCCTGGGTTCCTGAGGTGGTATCTCTACAGAAGTAGATTGCCCAACCTTCCTTCTGAGGAGTGGCCGGTGGGTTTGAACTGCCAACCTTCTGGTTAGCAGTCAAGAAAGGCACTTTGTGTATTTCACTGTACATAAATTATATTTCAATAAAATGCATTAAAATAAAAATAAGTAAGATATAAGGTGAGACCCTTAGACTATGGTCCCTAGGTACCCTTCAGGTCTGGAATTGAACTCACACCTGTGGCTTCCAGCCAAACAGCATATAAGGTGAACACTGACATCAGGTGGATACACTCCTTAGAACAATCAATCATAGGAAAACAGAAGGATAGCATTTGCACAAGGAGACAGGAATACATAGGAAAGAAGGACACAGGGAAGAGGTAACTGCAGGGAGGAAGTGGGAAGAGAGCTATTACATTGTGAGGAATTGCAGTCAATGTCATGAAATAAAATGTGTATGAACTGCTGTATGAAAAATGAATTTGCTCTGTAGTTTTACACCCAAATCACAGCAAAAATTTAAAAAAAAAAAAAAAAGAATACCATGGCAGTGAGATGGCAGATCCATCAGCGTCTGTACTGTGTGCATGCTGAGGGCATCTCTCATTAAGATGATTATGTTTGTTTTGTATTAGTCCTATTTAAGGATTAATAAAAGAATAACTATACAAAAAAAAAAGTAAGGTCCTTGAGAGTAGGGATTTTCAAGTGTTATATTTTAGTATTTAGAATGGTTCCTAGCAAAGAGGAGGTGTTCACTTAATATTTGCTGCTTTCAAGAGGAGTTAGGTTATGTCACACATCATTTGTCAATTTAACTTTGTCATATCTTTCTTCCCAGAAAGCACCTGCTTCACTGACTATGCTTTGAAAAATTCTCTACTGAAACCTAAAGTCAAATGATTTTTGGACTATTATATCACAGTTTTCTTTCATTTACACAGAGAGTTAGTTGAACATTGACTAAGCTAACTTATTTTAATCTTATTATCTCAGTATATATAAAACAGAAAAAAAATTATATTTGATACCACGATCCAACAAGTTATAAACAATTTGTCAGACATGATCCCACTATGGAATTCTCATAAATCAGTTATGCAAAAAACATTTTAGATCACCTGATATCCATATTATTAGTTTTAATTAAAAACTAAATGAGAAGATGGTAAATATAACTTTCAAAGGGTTTACCCTAGGTTCCACAGAAAAACCCAAAGTGACTCTGAAATACACATTAGCCATAACTGCATCTGAGCCTTAGGGTTACTACCATGCCTCTGCCATTTACTTCAATCACTTGTGAGCCCCTAAAACTTCATTCTACAACAGCAGCTTAGGTGAGGCTAGAGGGCTAGAGCAAAGTGGGGATCATTTCTTTTAGAGATTACAAACATATTTAACAAAGAGAGTAAATGCATCTTAACAGATAGCTCCCAAAGTAACAAAGGGTAAAATATAACCTTCAATGAAGAATCTAAGCCAGAAACCTAGGACCTTATAACCCAGTAGCCATCGTTATTTTTCTTTCTCTGTTATTTATTTTTCAAGCCATTATTTCTCAGTACTTCAGAAAAATGGTGTCAGGAATTAAAATGGGAAAAAAAAAAAAAAAAAAAAGAGCCCAAACCTAGGGATGGGCTGAGAGATACTTAGCAAGAGTAGAATTAACTGCCTTTGGAATTAATTTTGATATGTAATAAATACTCAATGAATGAAAAAAATCAGTAAATGAATAGGGGATTTTCTTTTCATGAACAGAATTCATTAAATCAAGAGCCATGGAAAAATAATGCTCTCAGTGTCAAATCCATGCCTAAATATTAAGTTTTATTATCATTATTTTAAGGTAACTATAGAAAACATCCTTTTTTATTTAGTTTTGTTGTTGTTATGTGCCATTGAGTTGGGCCCAACTCATAGCAGCCCCTCCTTGGGTTTCCGAGGCAGTATCACATGGGGGTAGACTGCTCAACCTTCCTTCCAAGGAGTGGCTGGTGGGTTTGAACTGCCAGTCTTCTGGTTAGCAGTCAAATGCCTTAGGCATTATGTTTACTTCCTGAGAAAACCACAGCAAGCTTACCTGATGTAAAGCGTAGCTCAGCAGCACTGTAACATAGTAATATATGGGGAATCCCCCTTGATGTTCCACTTTAGGAGTCCACCAAACCAGTAGGGCATATTCTAATCCAAGCAATAATCTATAGCAAAACAAAGAAAAAAGTGAACTTTCATTTTTAGTTAAAAACAACAACCACCAGAAATCTGTGTGTATACCTTATGACAGAAAGAAGTCTGTATCAAAAACCTGTTAGGAGATTAAAAAGAGGGAAAAAGTGCACCTAGAGATACAGAAGTTAAAGATGATTTTCCAGTTTTTTCCCATACATACTTTATAATCAGATATTAGTGATAGTGATGAGTGTTTCTCATTTTAACATTTTCAAATTTAGTAAAGGTTTTGTTTCATTTTTACCTGTAGGGCATGGCTTTGTAAAATATGTTTAGTGGCTGGGGACCTGCAGTGTATTTGCTGATAATCAGAGGCAATATTATTTGCAAAGGAACCATTGGAACTGCCAATAAGGCTAAATGTTCTTTGGGTACTCCTTCTTCTACCAATTTCAGTCCTGTTACTGCATCTGCTGCTGAAAAACCAATCTACAATATAAAAACAAACAAAAACATTTAATTGAGACTTAGAAAATACTGTCTTCCAAGCATACGTAAGCTCTTCCAGAACCTGAATTTCATTACTGGCTATAATGGACTGCATTGTGTCTCACAAAAATATGTGTTGTACATCATAACCTCTATGTTTGTGATTATAATCCCATTTGGGAATGGGCTGTCTTTTTTATGTTAATGAGACAGGATTAATGTTGGGTGTGTTTTGAGTCAATCTCTTTTGACATATAAAACAAATTAAACAAATAAGGCAGTGAGTGGAGATGGGTAAGACAGATGTCAACATACATCGTGATCTCCAAGGAATCAAGCAGCAGAAACTGAAGAAACAAGGACCGTCCTTCAGAGGTGACAAATATAGCAAGTTTTCCCCTAGAACAAGTGCTCTCAATTTGGAATTGTAGCTGCCTAAACTGTGCTATGAGGAGCTCTGGTGGCATAATGCCTAAGGCATATGACTGCTAACCAGAAGGTTGGTGGTTCAAACCTGCCAGCCACTCCACGGAAGGAAGATTGGGCAATCTACTTCCATAAAGATTTACCACCTTGGAAACCCAATGGGGGTCGCTATGAGTCAGAATTGACTTGATGGCAGTGAGTTTGTTTGTTTGCTTTTTTTAAATTATGACAAGATAAATTTGTTTGTTAGAGCCATCCACTTGTGGTATTTCTGTTAAAACAGCACTAGATAACTACGACACTGGCCATATTAATTTATCTGGAATGATAATCAAATTATAGAATGAACTTTGCCCTTTGGCCCACTAACAATATTTAGTAAAACCAACTGAAAATTCAGCAGTCTGAGGGATAGTACATGGTTCTACAACAACTAAATTTTCTTTCAAAAGCCTCAACTGATCCCCAATAAATCTGTTTAAAATCACTGTTACCCATACATATTTTTAATTGACCATAAGGTAGCTCTGGTGGTGTAGTAGTTAAAGCATTCAACTGCTAACCAAAAAGGTTGACTGTTCCACCCACCGGCTGCTCTGCTGAAGAAAGAAGAGGTAGTCTGCTTTCCATAAAGATTTACAACCTTGGAAATCGTACAGGGTAGTTCTACCTTGTCCTAACGGGTCGCTATGAATAAGAATTGACTCACTGGCAGTGAGTGTTTGTTTTCTGGTCTGGACTGACCATAATAAAATTTCTCAAAGCAATCTAAAGTGTGAAGTAATTCTGAGAAAACATTATATCTGAAAGATTGAATAAAATGAAGGGTAAGAAATAATATAATTACATTAATTCCTAAGAACAATGACAAAGAGAAAGGATAATAAAATACTGACTAAAAAGTTTGAGGTGAAATAAGATATCTACATATTTCTAAGTATTATTCTCTAAATTAGTTTTTAATTATAAAAGGAAAAAAGAGTAACTTTAAAATAGATTAGCCAAGTAATTAAAATTAATAACAGATAATAGGATAAATGGTCATCATGTGGCTGCTGATATAATTTCCTGAGGTCACAAATATTACTTCTGTGCTATTTCTGCCATATATGTATAACCCGAACCTAAAGATGAAAAAGAGTAGATAAACCCAAAATGAAAGCCATTCTATAGTATAATTGGATTGTATTCTTAAAAAATGTCAAGGCCACGCAGGACGAAAAAAAAAAAAAAAAGACTCGTGACAAATTAATACAATGTGTGATCCTGGATTGCATCCTTAACCAGGAAAAGTTATAAACTGTTACCAGGATAACTTGTTGAATTTAGATATGGTCTGTGATTAATAATACTGTATAAATTTTAAATTTCCTGATTTTGATGATTCTATTATGGCTTTTAAGAGAAAGCACTCATTCCTAGGAAACACATACATATTTAAAATATTTGGGGATAAATGGGCTTGATAGGTACAAATTATACTCCCAATATGTCAGAAGAAGTATGTAATAGAGAGAAAAAGAAGAAATCTGAAGAAAGTGAAGCTATATGTTAACAATCAGAGAATTTGGATAAAGGATATATGAGAGATCTTCCTACTATTCTTGTCACTTTTTAGTAAGTGTGATATTTTATCAAATAATAACTTTAATAAAATGAATGATAGATAGTATACACTTTAATTTCCTGAATGGAGCTAAAGAACAACTTCACCATAAAAAAAGGTCAAAGATCATTTAACTAAATGCACCAAAGAATTTCAATTACATTTCACTCATGCTCTATATAAAAAACAGATATACAAACTATACAAAAATAGTAAAAATATATTTTATATTTTTATATATTAAAAAAGGATACACAAAAATAGTCAAATATACAAACTGACTTCAATACTTACTCTGTATTAATTGTGGTGTAAGAGATGTTTGTAATACACATGTCTAACAAAAAACTCATATCCAGAATATATAAAGGACAAAAATGGACAAACTATTGCTATAAACAATATGGATAAATCACACAAAGATAATGCTGAGCAAAAAGAACCAGCACAGAGCACATAGTGTGTATTCCACTTATATGAAAGGTAAAAACAGGGAAAACGAATCTATCATGTTAAAAGTTAGGAGAAACGACTTTTAAGAGTTACTGTTTTTGTTGTTAGGTCCTGTTGAGTAAATTCTGACTCATGGTGACCCCATGTACCACCGAATGAAACACTGCCTGGTTTCACTACTAATAGTGTTTCACTACTATTCGTAAGGTTTCAGTGGCCAATTTTTTCAGAAGTGGATGGCCCTATCCTACTTCTGAGTCTGTCTTAGTCTGGAAGCTACATTGAAACCTGTCCACCATGTGTGATGTCACTGGTATTCAAAATACCAGTGGCATAGCCTCCACCCTCACAGAAACACTCACTCAAGCCACCACAGTAAGACAAACTGACAGACGAGTGGTGGGACTTTAGGGAGGTTTACTTTATTAAAAGGGAACACTGGACTCTCAACTCTGCAACTGAGGCACCACCTTATACATTGCAGGGAACGGTATCAGGAAATGTAACATTTTTGAAAAGCAATTCAGCAATCATATTCACTGGCCCATTAATTGTCCATTGAAGAATCTATTAGAAGGAAACATTCAGAATTTCAAAGAAAGACTTTGCACAAAAATGTTCATTAGTGTATTTTTATAATTAAAGACTACAAGTAAATTGAATATACAACAACAGAAAAATGACTGAGTGAATTATGGCAAATTTACACATTGGATAGCTATTAAAAAGTATAAGGAGCCCTGGTAGTACAGTAGTTAAATGCTTGGCTGTTAACTAAAAGGTATGCAGTTCAAACCCACCAGTCACTCCACAGAAGAAAAATGTGGTAGTTCGCTTCTGCAAAGATTACAGACTTGGAAACTCTATAGGGCAGTTCTACTCTGCCATATAGGGTGGCTGTGAGTCAGAATTGACTCAATGGCAAGAAGTTTGGTCATTAAAAAGTATGCTTTCAAATATTACAGGTATAGGAATATGGGAAATGACAAAAACAAATAATTATGTATAGTATGACCTAATTCCCTGTTTAAAGTGTGTGTATATACACATACACATATAAAGTGTATGTATATATAAATATGTACAGACACTTACACACAGAAAAAATAGAGACTGAAGGGAAATATACCAAAAATGCTAACAATGGTTATCTCTAAAGGATGTAATTAGTTAATATGTAATCTTCCTTGAAACTCCCATTTTTTTAAAGTTTCCCTCTCCTACTATTTGTTGTTAGCTGCCATCAAATAGGTGCTAACTCATGGTGACCTCATGGTGTAATAGAACAAAACATGGCCCAGTCCTGTATCATCTTCATGCTCATTGGTATCCCCTATTATTAGAAAGGAGGGAAAACTCACTATTTAAAATTAAAATAGTGAGACTGTATTTTTCCTCCACAGTTGTAAAAAGATAGCTGTCAAATCTTTAGGTTGTTGTTGTTGTTGTTATGTGCCGTCGAGTCAGCCCTGACTCATAGCGACCCCTCCTTGGGTTTCCGAGGCAGTATCACTACGGAAGTAGGATTGCCC